GACCTTTTCACAGTCGGCTATTTCGAAGATGATTTCGATCTAATTCCCTTTGCGTGAATTATGCGTTGTCGTCGATGAAGTAGACGTCCTGGCTAGGTTTTGCAAATCTTCTTCTGAACTGCTAGTTTCCGTGTAAAGACTGAAATTGTCGTTTGAAGTACTGTCAAAAGACTCCTCTGAAGATTCCTCACGGGTGTCCGCTATGTTTTTTCAGCGTGAAGGAGTTGTCCTAGTTACGTATTAAAAGTTTATCATTGATGACGCAATTGCTAGTGATTGGCTTTTCGAAAGTAATTTGCGGGAAAAGCTTATCTAAAAATAAACCTACTTGTGAAAACGCCGTTGCATAGGGGCAATATGGAAGTTAGACGCTCCGGGTTATGGGCTCCTGCTATTAGTCAATTCATTCAAATTGGGTCAAACGTGAAGGCCAGTTTGCTACTAGTTGTTTTATAAGAATTAAAAATTAACTTCACTTTTGGCAGTTTTAGATCCATTTCAAGCCATTTCAGAAGACTTCAATTTCAAATTTTCCCGGGGGAGCATACCCCTGGACCTCCCTAGTTGGCTCACGCTAACGCGTTCGCATTAGCCCCCTCTGCGGGCCCTGCTCATTTGATCTCGGCTCTATTTCCGTTTCTCTTTGTAAATAAGCACGTAAGAGAGAATGTATTAGAACTGCTAAAATTGATCTCAGCTTACATCTTTTTAAGCTTAGCCTGTTCCAGGCTCTCAGATAGTGGGGAAGACGCGAAAGAAAAAGGCACGCGATCCCGTCTTATTTTCGTGTTTGCGCTTTCTCAATTCAGCGGATCCGACTATCTCGAAGGCTGGAACAGGCTATTTTAAGCTGCACAACATTGTATAGCGTGTTGTATTTGACTCTTGTTCGCTTATATGTGTGTGCAAATAAGTTGGGTTCAATGGGTTTAGTTATGTGTAAAATGTTAGCGACATTTAGAAAACGATGTCGTATCAAATAAACGAAAGCAGTTATGGTCTATAATGTAAGAGAGAATACCTCATTCTCTCTTGGTGGAACTGATCGCAATATTGATTTTGCAGAATAAAGTTTAATTACGTTATGTTAGGATAATCAACACTACATTGTTGTTGAGCTTTATGTAAGGGTTATTGGCCTGAAGCGAGGGGTTATGTGGTCTATTCCCTTAGTGCGTTACCCTCGGGCAACGCCCTAGGGGAATAAATCACATAACCACAAGCTGAGGGCCGATGCTAAATATACATGTATTACCTTACCTAGGGTAAATTGTCGTCCTTTTTCCTGAAAAATCGTATTTTGAGCGATTTTGAGGGTTTTTGCGTTCGGTTTTTTCCGTCTTTACTGTTCCTCTTACATATTTAGCGATATACCGCTACAAATGAAGCAAACGGTAAATATAGTATATTTACCATAAAATTGCATCGGTTACACAGACAGATTGTGTGGTCGCCCTGTGGTATCCTGTGACATGACTTTACCCTAGAACAGCTGTAATAGTAACGGGTGTGCAATAGCAGGTTGCAGGCTTCCATTCTAGTTAGAAATTGGGAGACTGTACATTGTTGCCCTGTTGTGTGGACGGACGGGTGGACGGAAGGACAGACGGACGTACGGTCACGTGACTACCAGAGAGATTTTCTACCAGAGAGATTCTTAGCTATGGCCGGCTCTGCTATTAGTCCCCTAGCGCGCGATTCTAAGAAAAAGAACTTGCTTGTTTCCACGGTACATAATAAGATCCAGTAGCCTCAAAGCAAGACACAAAACGTGTATAGAAATAGGCAATAACAAGAAATACATTTAACTGTTTTTTACGTAGAGCTCTTTTAACTGGTAACTTCTGACGAACAAAATTTTGGCCCTTTTCACCGCTCTGGTAAAATGCTGGAAGTGAATTGGTGTCAGGTGCCGATAGCAATTGGCTACTGCTGGTGTAGACTGTGAAGCATATTAGGGACCTTACGATCTGACAACGGCGACATCCATGAAAACGTCGCAGAAAAATAGACTTCGCATCCTTTCAAACTTTTTCGCGCGATTATCCCAATTCGCCGAAGGGAATTTTGGTTGGAGATGAAGAGGGGGGACTGCAGCCCGAGTTCAGACAGAGATGGTAGAATTCATCGCCTTGCCGTTCCCGTTCTCAAGTAAACTTAAAATTTGGTCATTTCACGTCGTAGTTTAGCAGGGACTGCAAAGAAATGTACAAAAGCACCTGCAGAGTTGTTGTTTTGCTCATTAAACCTACTGCTTTTTTGACGTTCTCCTTGCCGTCGCCGTCGCAGTTTCGTGAGGTCCCTATTAAACGACGACGGCGACGACTACGAAAACGTCATTTAAAAAGTGAATTCGCGCTTGTTCAAACTTTATTGCGCTTATTCCATCTCGTTTTATTTCGTCAAATGTTGGCAAATTTCTTGAAGTTGAACCAACAGAGAAGCATAGCACAAGTGCCAAAAGAACTGCGGTTTGTAACTCGCTCGCGAGTTCTCCCGCGTGTCGCGGACTTGCTCAATGTAAAAAGCTTGCTCGCAGGCTTGTGCAATTAACAATTATAGTACAGGTCACGAAACATTTTAAAAAATGACTGAACAATACTTACCCAACAACGAAACCCTGCATAGCATGTGCAATAGCATACCAAACCCACAAATGCTCTGTTGCTGACTATTAGAATCGCAGCTCTAGAACTGCCTAGAAGAGCCTTTGCGCGCGCAAAAGAAACTTAGCATGGTTAATTGTTTATGACCTCACTGAATTTTAAAACCTCACTCTTGAGAGGAGAAGAACGTGACTGAAATTTAACGGAAGATTATATAGAGTGGTGAAGTTATTTTTTTCTAAGAAAAGATTTTTTTAGTGCATTTAAAAGAGCAATCCGTCCTCAAAGGATGGCACAGATGTATGTGTACAGCTATGAACAGCTGCTGGCGATTGTAAACCAGCAAGCAACAACCATAGCTCAACGAGATGCCGTAATTAACAACCTCCGTATTGAACGAGAATGGTTGGAAGAAGACAACAAGCTTCAAAGAGAAGAGGTTGAAAAAGCTAACAAGAAAATCGCGGATCAGGAAAGATTTGCGAAGTTAAAAGAAAAAAAATTAAAAAAAGATTTGCTACAGGTGAAAGAATCTCAAGATCAAATCAAGCGAAAGCACCAGAACGCTGTAAGGGAATTGAACGACGTCAAAGGTAAAAACCTCAAAATAAAAGCACATTGCACTTCACTGTTGGATAAGCTTGATAAGAGTACCCAGGAGCTCCAGCAGAAGCAAGAAGAACTTGATCGGACAAAGCAGGAACTCGATTTAGGCTACAGCGTGGGTGAGTCGATGTATCAGCACCTTAGATATTACTACTGGGGGTACTTCGACCTGCTAAAGTACTTCCAGTGGCCCGGGCCACCGACTGGAGGAGCCACCGTCATAGAGCTCGACACTAACGACAAAGTAACACCGATGGAAGAACACGCGATAGCAGTGCTGCCTCACAGTTATAGCCTAACTGAGGGAGTCCGGGTGTTACCTAAACCAACTTCGGAAACCGTTATAGTACCTGCACCCGTGAACACGGTAAAGGAAACGGAAGCAAATTATCGAACCATTTTGGTAGCTCAGAATGTCATTCAGTCGTTTAGAAGGAACTCCATCTGTCCCCTGAGCCATTCTCCCGCTCGTGACCTAAACCCAATTGAGTTCCTGCTATGTAATAATAACACCTGCAGTTTCATCTTACAAGCTCCTGAGGTTACTCAATTATCAGCTGTCCACAGTGAAGTGCCCACAATACCTGGAAATCACCTGCAGCTGTTTGCCATTTGTCCACCCGAATGGGCAAATGCAGCTAACACAATAGTCACAATACCTACAGTAAAAGCAGCCAATCGTGCACCTCGGCTACCGAAGATCATCGCGCTCACCAACATCACCTCTTGCAACAAGACGTTTGGGTCTTTTGCAAAGAAAAGTGAAGAGGAACACCAGAGAGGAAGGTGGACATTGCCAGCTGAACCAAAAGGTGGACACTGCCAGCCGACCACAGCTTCTTTCGAGCATCGGCCCGACGCGAACAACCTTTTCACTGATGGTGAAAAGGAAGCCTTAACTCGTAAAGATGAAAGGAGACGAACTGGAGAGAAAAAATCAAAGACTTTGGTGAGTTGGCTCAAAAATTACAGATACTCTGCAAAATTGAATTGGCCTAAAATAGTTTCGGTAGATAAACTTATGAAAATCCTTGGAGTGTGATAATAATACCCGGCCTCACGACTATAAAAGCCAGCAGTTTACTAATCAGTCAGTAACGGGTAGGGAGTGACGGATTCAGACCTTCAGATGAGGGGAGGGGGTGGGGGGGCGGGGAATGCGGTCATCTAGACCTCTGAGATAAGGGGTGTGGTCTCAAAATAATTTTTTTCCGCCTTTCGGGCCTCAGTTTGGTCTAAAAATAAGGTGGGGACTCGAGCCCCCCTGTCCCCTTCCCTGGATCCGCCACTCGTGGGGACAGGTTTGTTAAACAAAAATTCGTGTCCTCCCAACAACCGTTACAAAACATCGTCCTTTAAATGATATTCAGATACAAGAGATATAAACGCAAGTTTTTCTCGTGTAAATAAGGTTTTGTTTTTAATTATTAGAGGGGACATATTGTGCTCATGTTCTCTCATGTTCAGTCTCTTACTAATCTCCATGTCATGTCATGGCCACTCTGCTGCGAGACAAAGACTTCGTGACTAAACATGGTAGGTTGAGGTAAATCAGTGAAACGCTGTGACCAAAAAAGCACCTAATCAGTATGGCGTAGCTCCTCGTCGTTCTTGAAGATAGCGTTGTAACTGTATATTTTCGTACTAAACAATCTTCTCTGGTTGTATACCTTATTGTTGCAGAAACAAAGAGTAACCAGATTCTTTTCATGGCTACGACGACATGGGTCTTGTTGGAGACCTAGAAGAGAGGAGTGACTAAAACCTATTAAATAAGTTTCATTTTTTCTATATATTTTACTATTTGATTGATTGAGAATTTTAGGAAAGCTGGTTTTCTTCTAGCGACGGGGCTTATGATCTACTGAAAACAGCGTTCCGATTCTGTTTACGATTCCGTCGCTTACGTTCTGCTTATGATCTGGTAAAAATCAGATTGTCGGAGTCGGAAGCAAAGGCGAAAAAACTAAACCAATCGCAATGCGTGGGAACGTGCATTGTGATTGGTTTATCCTTCCGCCTCGATCTGCTTCCGACTCCGATCACTAGATCATAAGCGTAACGTAAGTAAAGGAGTCATAAGCGGAGTCGGAAGAAATGGAAACGTTCTCATTCTTCTGACTCCGATCCCGTTGCACTTTACGACTCCGCTTACGACTCCGACTCCGACTCCGTCGCAAGTGAATACCAGCCTTTTTTAGAAAACAAGAAAAAAACAAATACAAAAACAAAAAAAGAAATAAAAACAAACTGAAAAAACATAAACAAAAGACAAAAACAAATATAAAAAACAGGAAGCAAATAATAGTAGAATTGAAAAAATAGTTCAATAGCTTTCTGCTGTTTTGCCATTTTTTTTAATTTTTCATAAATATTGTCCTACACTCTGAGAGAATAATTCTGTCAAGTTTAAACAAACTGTCACTCGATCTGTTACTTAAGAACTTCAACTGCCTGGGCCCCATCGTGCCTAGCCGGCCTAGCGTGGACCAAGAAAAAACTGACGACCGTCACACGGATCTGGATCATGGACAAGATGTAGACCAGAAGGTACCATTGTGAAAAACAATTCGGGTGTCAGTAAAACGCGGAGTAGGGGTGGGGCTCAGGGTTTATGTTTCTTTTTAAGAATGCTGTTTTAGGGTGAGGGTTGACATTTTAAAACCGGAACCTAACGCTTACCCTAACGCTAAAACAAAACTGAATGCAGGGCTGTCACTACGGCCAAGCTAATTAAGGGGTGATATTATTATAGGAATATATTTTGGCTAGCAAAATTAGCCTTCCTCAGGGCCAGAACTATACCGAGAGAAAATATCTTTTAACGGCTCCTAAAATTTGATCCGGCAAGAGGAACCAGTCAGTTATAGTTACGCGTTGCGTGAACCTCTGCGTTGAAACAGTTTTTCCTAACGCTTACCCTAAATAACCCTAACCTATCTCTAAACCTAAAACTAAACCTAACCCTAACCCTAATCCTCAATAACCCTAAATAAACCTAACCTGACTCTAATCCTAACCCTAAAACACAGCATTCCTAAAAAGATAGACGCCCATCACGGCCCCGTCCCCGGCCTCGACCCCGCGTTTTACTAACACCCAAACAGTTCCCCTAAACCTTATCCCCTAAAGTCGGGTGTTGGAACTCGGAACTCAGAACTTGTTCTTCACACGGCGCCTTTTTTCCTAGCCTGCGAGCAATTTCTCTTTTTCTTCAGATTCAGTGAGGGGAGAGCACGCACGCACGGGAGCGTTCAAAGTGGCGAAGCCGCAAGACAACGAGGAGGGCGTCTTGCGCCTTCAGTCACGCGCGTGGTCATTTGCGTGTCTCGCGCGTTTTGCTCGAGGGACCAAGAAAAAAGAGAGCCTGCTCGTAGTCTAATTTTCTCCCGACCCGACTGACTGCCCCTGGGTCCATGTGCAATCGGTGTTTGGCGCAGATCTTTCGCCGAATTGCGAAAAGAGGACATGACCTAAACCGAAAATTGTGCTTGTGTCTCTTGTCATGTTGGACACCCGCAGGAGCCCATCATGATGATGGGCTCCTGACACCCGCTTATAAACCGGAAGTTATTCTCCAAATTTGTATATTGCTTGGTGCCTTTAGTCTCGGCAAACATCAGGACTCGAGGAAAAACAAAAGATGACTCGATTGAAACCATCTTGCCAAAAGTTTGGGCTGAAAACAGTTCAAGCTGTTGTCACTTAGTCACGCAGATCGGCGGTCACCACACCTGTTACGTCTTGTGTCTAGCATGCATGGGAAACCGTGATCATCACATGACAAACTTCGGGACCAGGATTAGCGATTAGCGAGCGTAGGCCCTTTGGAAAGTGAACGTCGTTGTTGTCTTCCAAAATGATTCGTTCTGTTTATCTTCTTTTGCTCAGTGCCTTTGCATCTTCAACAATCAAGAGAGTTCCGACACTTTCAGATCCTTTAGCTCTCGATTATCAGGATTATTTATCCTGGAAGCTTGAGGAGCTTCAAGTTGAAGATTACGTGAAAGGTTCGGTTTGGCCGAAACCTCAAGGAGAAACGCCTAATGGCGAAGTTTATTCTCTCTCGCCTCAGAATTTCAAATTTACAGTAACCGGACAAAGTAGTGATGTTCTGCAAGATGCCATTTCTCGCTACAAAAAGTTGACTTTTCCCGATAGTGACGATGGTGACAGCTCTTGTGAAAGAAAAAACGCTGAAGCGCAAGGCTCGTCAGAGATAACGCAGCTAACTGTCAAAGTCATCAACAAGTACGAGAATCTCACTTTAGAAAGCGACGAATCATGTAAGTATCGTCAGTCACTTCTCCTTTTTTGTTAGCTTGATAGAGGAGGTTGATATGAGGTCTTTTCTTTTACATCTTTTTTTCAGGTGATATCACACAGCTGTAATTAATTGGGCTTATTCAAAAGTATAAACTTCTAACAAACTTGTTTGGATTATTCATGTTACTCCAGTAGCTTAAATATTTTTTACCGCTGTTTTGATAGATTGTTCGTTCGTTTGTTTGTTCTAGCTCACTGACTATTGCCTTAAGCTTTATACCCTGTTGGCAAACATTCTACTTCAATTCCACCGATATCCTAACCATGTTTACATACACAATTGACAAACATCAAGGTGCTAGTTACATAATTTATGCTCAATTGACCAGAGTCTGTAGATATAACCACTCTCTTTTAAAATAGGTTTGTTTAAGTTGGTGTGTATCAAGAGCCACAAAGAGAGGTTTTTTGGTAAATGCTTGACATGTACTGAAGGATAGTTAATAAAATTATTTAATTTTTGTTTGATCGATAAGTCTGAAAATACCTGCTTAAAGTTGACAGGTTTTCTAATTAAAAATAACTGGTAAAGTAATATAAACTTGTGTCAAAAGAATAATTAATAATCAATTAGTCAAAAGAATAATTAAATTTGTCTGGTCATGTGAGAGAAAAGTTGCCTACAAACCCAAACATACTGTGGCAATGGGTTATTCCAGAAAAAACTCCAACCCCCCTCACACCCGATGGAAGGCGCTTTTCCCCCCTCCTTTCCATCCAGATTTCCAAGCCTGCTTGAGGCCCCCCTCCCCTCAGGATTTTCAAGTTCAAGGACCCTCCCCCCCACCAAATCCCATCTGGATTTCCATAAAACTTCAAGATACCATAACAGGCTTACACATTTTGCAAGTAAGCTCACATTTGAGTGAACTGCTCTTTTTTTCTATAGACCAGGTGAAATAATATTATACAGCAATGTAGGCAACAATACAGCTCAAAACTAACTATCTACATGAATAAAATCTCCTCTTCTTTGTTGAGAAAAAATGACTATGAAAGAAAGAAAGAGGACACTTAGTGGGATATTACATGATGGGTAATACGGTTGGCTGCACCTCTTGCCTTTGAAAATGCCACCCAGCTTTCTTGTTAGGTGTGTTTAGTGGTAAATGACCCTGAAATAGCATGGACCTTGGGAGAATGTTTGATTCAAAGTAGAAATCGTTATTTTTTTATGAATTATGTGATTTTTGTCAGTATTTTCAAGTTATCGCACGTCGCTTCTACAAAAGTAACAAAGGCGAGCTTATGGATGGAGACTTTAAATAAATGTGGTTAGAGGTGTGTAGTTTGAAAGAATAAGCAGTTTTTTAAAACTTGTCAATTGATTGAAGTAATGGAAACAGGGATGAATGTAAGTCCTGAGGATGTAGTTTTAGATTCAGAATCCCCCCCTCCCATCTTAATTTCTAGAGCCGTTAATCCCCTCTCCCATGAGATTTTCCAGCACGCCTTCCATTTGGGGAGTGTGGATTTTTTCTGGAATAACCCAATACAAAACTAATGAAATTGGTTTAATTAGATGTTTTGGGGGGATTTAATTTTGCCTGTTTATGTTATACTAGTCAGGGGGAAAGTGGATTTTTTCTGGAATAACCCAATACAAAACTAATGAAATTGGTTTAATTGGATATTTCGTATCCATTTTTGGGGGGATTTAATTTTGCCTGTTTATGTTATACTAGTCAGGGGGAGTGTGGATTTTTTTGTGGAATAATTACCCAATACAAAACTAATGAAATTAGTTTAATTGAATATTTTGTATACGTTTTGGGGGGATTTAATTTTGCCTGTTTATGTTGTACTAGTCAAGGGGAGTGTGGATTTTTTCTGGAATAACCCAATACAAAGCTATAATGAGATCAGTTTAACTGGATATTTTGTATACGTTTTTGGGGGATTTAATTTTGCCTGTTTATGTTATGCTAGTCAGGGGGAGTGTGGATTTTTTGTGGAATAATTACCCAATACAAAACTAATGAAATCAGTTTAATTGAATATTTTGTATACGTTTTGGGGGGATTTAATTTTGCCTGTTTATGTTGTACTAGTCAGGGGGAGTGTGGATTTTTTCTGGAATAACCCAATACAAAGCTATAATGAAATCAGTTTAATTGGATATTTTGTATACGTTTTGGGGGGATTTAATTTTGCCTGTTTATGTTGTACTAGTCAAGGGGAGTGTGGATTTTTTCTGGAATAACCCAATACAAAGCTATAATGAGATCAGTTTAACTGGATATTTTGTATACGTTTTTGGGGGATTTAATTTTGCCTGTTTATTTTATACTAGTCAGGGGGAGTGTGGATTTTTTCTGGAATAAGCCAATACAAAACTAATGAAATCCGTTTAATTGGATATTTCATATACATTTTTGGGAGATCTAATTTTGCCTGGTTATGTTATACTATACTGATTTCTCCAGTGACCTGTTCTGAGTAGATTTGATATACAACTCTTTATATATGGACCTTCTTTGCCTGAAGCGTACAGCGCATTAACTAAATGTGATTCATTTAAAGCTCTGAGAGTCATTGCGGGCAAAGAACAGAACATTTTTGGTTTGTTTTATTTCAACATACTTCCAGTGAAGAAGAAGGCCAGAGCACCCTTGAAATGTCTGGTTTTCCCCCCAACATTTCAAGTGCATACACTGTATTTTAGTGGAACTTTGACTCAAATTATTGCATTGCACAGTTTCTTTTGAATTTTGTAAATACACCTCACTAATATAAGATCTGCCAAAGAGAATTCCCTGCTGTGCCATATTTTTTTAGACAAAACTGGACAGTTATCAATAAAGGGGAAGTAATAATCTCAGCTTGACTATCTCAAAGATCCAAACATACGTGGAACACAATTTACACTGACCCGCTAATTAACAATTATTCCTCGAGCCTGAATGGGCTCTGAATCAATAACCCATGAGGCCGAAGGAAGAATGGGCTATTGACTCAGAGGCCATGAGGGCGAGAGGAGTAATTTATTGTTTTAGTAAAATCCAACTAGTTGGTCTAAAATATCGAGAATAAAAAATTTTTAGCTAGTTAAAGCTAGACTTTAATCCTTTTTTACTGACAAAAAGCCCGCGCTTTTCGCTACTAGTGGGCTATAACATATAGCCTAGTAGTTGCTCAACCAATCAGAACGCAGCATTGATAATAGACCACTTGTTGGATTTTACTTATAATAAATAGCCAGTCTGAGATATACCACAGCTCATTGATCAGGATGTTGTTTTCCACTTATTGTCACAACTCTCTGATAATTTATTTTGTTCCATTTCAGACCAGTTAGATGTTATGTCTCCAACTTCTTCTCTGACTGCATTCAATGTGTGGGGAGCACTGCGAGGTAATAGCTGTAATTGTTATTGGTCCAAGCTAATTTTCTGATTCACTGAGTTGTAATGTTCCCTGGAAGCTCAGGTGAATAATTGCCACCTTAAAGCGGGGGGTTCACGATGATGCGCATGCGCGCCATGACAGCTTCCAGAATAAATCATATGGGCCAACACCAAATTCGAAGGATATATCAACTGTGAATCCAAAGGAATCTGTCTTTAAATTCGCTCATCTGTTCATATATGTAAGCAAAGTGAAGTCTGCTATTTCTAAAGTACTCGTGAGTGTTGTTTTGTTTTTGGAGAAAGGCGTTTAGGAAACAAAAAATCAATTTCGTCAATGGTGTCTTGGAAGCCATGTCGCAGGCGATCGACAACAGAACGTTCTCAAGAGTCTTTGGAGAAAGAGAAGCTTAGCCGATGGATCTGGTATAATGGTTCTAGGAGTTGTGTGTGGCTTACAAAAAGAATACACCACACTTGGAAAGTGGTAAAAGGCATGAGTTTGTTCAACTCTGATTTGATTTATGACTCCGACCTGTAGTTATACAGTAAAGTATGCAACAGGCCGCGCCATCTTCACCGATCTGGTACACTTGAAATGTTCCTTGTATCTTTGCTGTATGATCATATATGTTTAAGAATTGATGTTTTTAAAATAAATTATTGGCTGAATATTCTGTTTATAATCTGGTTTCTTTATGCGTTCCACTTGATAACATTTGTTTTTTGGAACACTGATCCGACGCAACATGTATGAATTTGTTTGTTTGCTGATAACGGGAAGCAATATAATTGAAATTTATGCTCAATTTAGGATAATCTTTATACTCATACGCTGTGTGTTTTTGTCACCAGTCAGGTGCTATTTGCAGCTATTTCTAGGTTTATATAGGGCGAATAGAGAGATCAGTTATAAAAGGGTTGTTTACAAATTTTGTTGACCGATCGGTCACTGCTTTGTTAGCTTGGGAACGTAAAAGACCTGGTAAAAATACATGAAGGTAAGTGTTTGTTTCAAAGCAAGACAGCCGGCTGTAAATCTTATTCTTATCGGCGGCAACATATTACTGAGGAATAGCAAAGAATAAATATAAATTATGTGGATATACAAAAACAATGAATGTGGATATATAAAAAGAATGAATTCGAATTATGTAAATTTGCTTGCGTGCATCTAACTCGCTTCCGGGTGGTTTAAAAACAATCAGCTACTGTCAGAACCCACACATGCGCAGTATCGTGAACCTGCCCCTTTAAGTCAACCACTGAGGAAGTACCCACTACTCTTCCATTGTATTTGTATTTCTCAGCTTTTTGATTAAAAACAATTATTATATGGTATGAATTTAAATATTAATATTGACAAAAATTGCATGTTACTAATGCACAGTATATATTCAGGGTCCTTCCCCTGAATTAAACTTTTCTTAGGGGAATCCCGTCGACTACCCTTAATCCTGGCTCTTCTGACTGAAACTTGTTTGCCCTGTTGGATAATTTTTTCTCCTTCTACAACTTTAAACTTTTCAGGAAAACACTGCTGACTTCATTTCAGCAAATGTTAATGTTGTGCAGCCTTTCCAGTGAACACTAGCACACCAATATGATTATACGATTATACAGTATGTGGTGAGAATTTGCATAATTTGCCACAGATTCAAGTCTACACCTTTTTGTCTACTTCCTGTTATGTTCCATTCTTTATTGAACAAGTAGTTTTAATGAACAAACATTTCTTTGAGTTGTTCCAAACAGGCTGTCTACTTTCTGATCTTTACCCTGGCTAATATAGGTTATTTTAAAAGCAATAAAATGCAAAACATTGCTTTAATTATATTTTTACTATTAATGAGTTAATTTACCTTTTTTATATAAATTTTATGAATATTTAAAATAGCCCAAAAAAATCATTATTATTTTTTCCAGGGTTAGAAACATTTAGTCAGGTTGTTTATCAGGATCTAAGTGGTTCTGTAAGTATAGCAAGATTATGTTATTCACTTGAACCTCTTGTTAGTTATTTAAGGCTGCTTTTTGGTATTTTATCATGCTCTTTTTGAGTGGTTCCTCCTGCACAGTAAGACAGTGTCCATATCTGGCAAAAATATCAGAGAAACATGTTAGGTGTAACAGGCAAGAAACAGTCTGTTAACGTTTCATATTTTGGCATTTTTTTATGAGGCAGAGACTCTAATCCTCCCGCAAAGAAATTCCCCAGTCTGGATTAACTGAAGAAGCAACTCTCATCCAAGACCTCCTGTACCAGGGCACTGCTGATTGTCAAACATAGGCTTTGTCCCCACTTAAGTCCCTGCATTTCCCAGGTTGTGGAGGTGGGGGGAGGGATTTACATCGATTGGTGCATAAGTTAACAGCAAATTCATCTTGGTAAATAAATGAAACTATTACTAAAAATGGAAAGTAGAAAACCACTATTAGCTAGTTAGCTTTGAAGTGTTAATACAAATGTAGCCTAGACTGAGTATTTCTCTTGTTAGATTTTTGTTGCATTGGTATTATACACTGTACTTAACCGTGGTTAAAGAAAATTAATATGTCGCTTAAAATGTGTAGACCAGGAACAATGAGACATCAAGGATTAATAGAAATATGTCATATGCAAGGGAAATTCAAAGTTAGCTTGCATCATGAATCATGTTTATCAAGAGCTGCGCACACTGATGCAAATCCCAGAATTACTTTTTCGTAGACATGGTGAAAACTTCTAATTTATTACTCTCTATAACTAGAGAGATCTCTGAAGGAACGTAAAATGCCTTAAGGTGCCATGCCATGAACACTGGCAACCTTGTAAACCTAATTTGCAATTAGGCTTTTTTTTTGCGGGGGAAGCAAGAAAGTTGGCAGACGGAGAAAGAAAAAAAGGACGCCTGATACATTTACTTTGCGAGTCGTCTGGTGCTCCCTATTTAAGGTATCTTTCAACATTTGTGTCATCATGTCGGATTTTGCCGGAAATTTAAGTGTTTTGCAACAAAGCCAAGGCAGCTAATTGAGGTAAGCGGTGAATGGTAAGTTGATACAGGAGCGTTATCAAAAACATCACAGATTATACTGAATTCATTGAAAACCGTCTTGGAACAACAGAATTCTGTATTTTACTGTGAGTGTTCAAAGTACATAGGAATTGATTTTACGGCAAAAAATCTGTCATGGTCTTTCATCATTTTGCATAAGTGTAGGTGTAAAATCGTCATTTGTTTTACACAGTTCCACGAAGTTGAATTCGATTGGGAACGGACAAGAAAATCAAAGACAAGGCTCTTGACTTAAATTCTGCCTCATCCAAGCAAGAAGGTGTCAAAGAAGAAATGGCAGATATACTTACCAGTGATAAATAACAACTCGTCCTCATGCATCAGCCGACAAGGCTTTTCTCTCTGCATTGTTGCCTTGATTCACTGAAAACAAGTTTTTTTTCCTACCTTAACCCTAAGCTGGCTGATAAATTAATTTATTTCCTCAATCACCTCGTGGTTTCTGTCATGAAGAGATGAAGGGCAAACCTGTCGTATTGCACCAGAAGTCAGATTAGTTGTCTGTAACCAATCGGTGCAGGGCTCCAAAAACTCTTTTGTTTTTCGACCCGTCAGACAAAAGTCCAGATTTTGGGCTACGGGCAGATTACGCGTAGAGTGAACATATCAGGCGTCCTAGAGAGAACTTTGAATTGCAGTTCCACAAACCCATCAGGTGGCATCATTCATTGTTTATACCTTTCAGGCGACCACGTTGTTTTAATCAGATATATATCTATGACACTACATGTAAAATTATGTGCATGTAAAGTATCGGTAGACAGGAATTTCAATTTTTGTTTAAATGTTGAGGTGCATGACTACCTGAAAGCTGATGCTGTCACCACATTTTGATTTTTTTAAATCTGCTTTACTTAAAAGTATGTTGCCAATGGGACCAAGATTGTTGACTATCCACGGTTTCATCACAGGGGATTTCTGATTGACACCTCAAGGCACTATATAAATGTCCCAGTAATTCTCAAGTTCTTGGTAAGTAAACTCAAGACGTTATATGTCACACAAAGCCAAGAAAGTTAATGTTATTTACGGTGGTTGAAAGTAAATGAGAGTTCC